TGCGTTTGTTCTGGCTAATGGGCCCATCAGCTAGGAGGCCAGGAAGCAGCTTACAGTTGCTTTATCCAGTGCAGAGGCAGAATACATGGCGATTTCCGAGGCAACGAAGGAGGTATTATATCTACGTGGCATTTTGCAAATTATTGGAGTTGATACCGGATGTACAATTTTATGGAACGATAGTCAGAGTGCACAAAAGATGATTAAAGGTCCTACAGTCACTGCTAGAGCTAAACACCCCAATCTTCGTGTACATTTCGTTCGAGAGGTCTACAAAAGTGGAGTTATCGATGTAGAATATATTCCAACGGAGAATATGCCAGCTGATGTGTTGACAAAAGGACTGGGGTCATGCGACCATAACAAGTGTATCTGTCATATGGGTTTGGCAATCACTTGAAGTTGTATAGTCTGTTTCATACTGTGATTTGGGAGGTTACTTTAAGAGGGGGTGTTGAGAATGTAAAGCAACCTATTTTACCGACTGTTCATATATTTACGTATAATCCATATCGATAAAGAGGAGGTTTATCTATATTACTACCTAACTTAATTTATTGTTTCTCGTTGCAACGAATATTTGTATATATATACGTGCATTTATTGATCTAATTTATATCCAGTAAATCCTAAAGAAAATGTTAACATTAAATGGAGTTAGTGTGTGAATTAAAGAGCCCTAATATTCCACTATAAAAACAACATCGAGAATTGAATTTCGGTTTTTCCACTGAAAAACTTAAAATCGGTTTTTCCACTGAAAAATAAATTTTATTATCAAGAATTAAATTTCGAATAAAATCAGTTTTTCATGTAAAAATTAACTTTCGTTTCGGGAATTAAAATTCCGAGAATAAACGGTTTCCCAAGTAGAACGATATTTCGAATCGGGAATATTGGATTCGAATTATTGTGACTAATTGCGGGAATTTGATTTCGAATTTTCGTGAAATGAATTGAGAAAATTCGAATCGATTTTTTTTTCTCTTTCAAAATATTTCGTGGGATAAAATTTAATCTCTTCCGGTTTCTTTAAAAAATTTAATAAATTTTACCCCTTCAAGTCATCATCATCGAAAGAGCATTATCTGAAGATCCCCATCCAAGGATAAAAATCCAGGGCTATTGACTTGAGACTATTGACCTGAGGGCAAATATTGAGAACCATCCTGAGGACGTTCATCTGGGGACAGCATCCGAGGCCATCTTCAGTTCATCGAAGTTATTAATTATTTTAAACATTCAGTTACAGCAATAGTGAGGCAATGAAATTGAATAATTTGTTTTTATTATTTTGTTTATTTTTTTTTGCTTGGATTTCCGTCTCATTGAAATTTGTCTATCGATTCATTCAGATCATTTGAATATATAAATTTTTTTTTTTAAATGATTAAATCGATTCTTCCAATTAAATTCAAATTCTAAAATTCAGTCGAAAGGGTATTCCTTTAGGAAAAATATTCTAAACTGAAATTGTATTCCTTCCATATCAATTTTTTCGGATCTGACTGAAAATTTTGATGATCGATAATGATTTATTTTTGTATACATTTAACTCAAAACATATATCTCCCCTAAATATACCATCAACGTAATAATTATAATAATATTTAGATCGAGCCAGATTGTATCTCGATAATTTTTATTTGATTTGTTCATTTAAATATTCAAATATTGTGCTTGCATGAGTCATTTCATCTCACACAGAATTCTAATCTTTTGAGAGAAATTTTTTTTTAAGGGAAATTAAATTTCCTTCGGATTCTCGCAGATCACAAAAGAGTAAATATTTTATTACAATTATTGATTCAGATGATCAATTGAATTTAATCTCATTCAAGTTTAGAGTCAAGAATCCTCAATGATTAAATTTTTTCACTAATTCTGACGTAAAAACTCCAAGAACACATGAGAGGAGGCAAAAATAAAAATCAATCAATTAATTATTTTGATTCGAGAGAATTCAAGGAATTTAATAGAATTTTCATAAAATTATTGAATGGCATGATTCAGTCGATTTTCTCATTAAATGAGTATTATTGATTTGAAATATTGTAAAAATTTGAAGAGTTTGAAATATTGGATTAAAGTTAAAAATCCATTCCTAAATTAATACTTTGTATTTTTATTTCTGAATTAATTATTAAGCACTTATACCTATTCTAAGCTATTATCCTAATGGATAGGCTTAAAACAGGTAAACAAATACTCAAATATTCTTGGGGAAAAACTTATCTCTATTTTAAATGAGATTTGCATATATCAAGGTATTTTTAACACTTACAAGGAAAGTTTCCTAGGTGTACCTCATCGATTTTCTTCATTTTGACATGTTATTCTACATGAAAAATGATTGACCACGTATTTTTTTTACGTGCTAACTCGGCCATAGAGAGACGAAAATGGCGTTTGAAGTTCACTCCAAAAAATAATTTTTCGCGATTTCTCGAAGACTACGCAATATTTTCCCAATTTTTTTTCCTGCATTCAATTACTTATTCGGAGGGGCTTTTGTGGATGTAGGGTTTGTTTACACGGCTGGGCTTTTTAAATGATTTATTAAACAAAAAAAGATTTTTTCATACATCTCTTCAGTGTAAAAACTCTCAATTTAGCTGAATCTCATTGAAAATTGGTGCCTTTGATAAGAAATCGAAAAACTAAATCAACGTGTTTCAGGGTTTCCGCCAAACAACCCCTCCTCCTAGTGGAAAATCCAAAATTATAGCGTTACATACCTGGTTAGAATCTGATATGATAACTTGATCATTGTCTGATCAAGACCTGACTAAAATTTCCACTCGGGTATGATTCAATTTAAGAGTGAAATTCGTAAGTGTTCTGGTAGCTCAGATGGTAAGAGCACCCGACGCGATACTGGGAGGTCCCGGGTTCGATTCCCGGCTAGGAAGCTACTGAGTTTTTTTCTCAAAAAATTTTTAATTTAATTAATGCCTAATGATGGTGGACGTTGAAAACCTAGTGGAAAATCCAAAATTATAGCGTTACATACCTGATCAGCATCTGATATGATAACTTGATCAGGGTCTGATCAAGACCTGACTAAAATTTCCACTCGGGTATGATTCTGTTTGAGAGTGAAATTCGTAAGTGTCCTGGTAGCTCAAATGGTAAGAGCACCCGACGTGACACTGGGAGGTCCCGGGTTCGATTGCCGGGTGACCCTTGACCCTTGTGAAACTTGGTCATCTTCTTGTGACTCTTGTGACTTTTGATCCTTGTGAAACGATCGTTTCAATGTGATCCTTGTGACTTTTGACCCTCGTGAAATTTGATCATGAACTTGTGATCCTTTTGTCCCTTCTGATATTTTGACCCCGATGAATCATCTTATGCTTGTGGCCTCCCTGGTCTTTAAATCCGTTATGAATATTTTTTACATTAATTTTTTTTTTCATTACTTGTCCGTGAGAAAACATCGATCCCAACTCAGAAATATCGATACACCCAATATCGCGACGCGCAAATATCGATACAAAATATCAAATATCGGAACAAAAAATATCGATATAAGTGAGTATCGATACTGGATCGGGAAACACTACCCTACTCTAATGTAGTCGAATGTAGTCATTATGTCAGTCTAATAATATATCAATTCCATTTCCTGATTGTTTGCAATCGCGGGATATGAAGTTCGTGCCTATGTGTATGAAAAGTCCAAGTTATCTTTATTTTGGATGGACAGTTTCAAGGAAGAATGAAAAAAATTAACCTAGAAAAATTTTCAATATGGGCACTTTGGTTAGATAATGATTAAAACATGAGGAATGATTAGATAATATGATTCAAAATAAAATTTCAAATTTCAAATTTCACCGATTTTTCGTTGCAAGGGTTAACTTGCCAACGCGGTCATCGGCCGAGGGCCTTCAGCCAGGGAATGTTGAATGTGGAGTGGATTTTTCAGTTGAAAATTCCCTGGAATATTCGGTTTGAAAATTGTGTTGATTTTTCAGTTGAATATTATGTGGAAAATTGTCATGAAAAATTGCTGTGGAATTTTGGCCCGGCCGGGGCTCGAACCTGGGAGCTTGTGGTTGTGAATCTCATGCTGCTACCAAGTGCGCCACACAGGCGGGTTTGATTCAGAATATTTTATGTAGAATTATCATCCAAGTTTGCAGAACTTTGAGTTGACCACGTTAAACCATTCCAAGGGGTGGTTTACCCCCTGACAGGGTGGTCTGGCGGAAACCCTGAAATACATCGATTTAGTTCTTCGATTTTTTATCAAAGGCACCAATTTTCAATGAGATTCAGCCAAATTGAGAGTTATTACACCGAAAAGAGGTATGAAAAAACCTATTTTTGTTCAATAAATCATCCAAAAAGCCAAGCCATGTAAACGAACCCTACATCCACAAAAGCCCATCTGAATAAGTAATTGAATGCAGGAAAAAAAATTGGGAAAATATTGCGTATTCTTCGAGAAATCCCGAAAAATTATTTTTTGGAGTGAACTTCAAACGCCATTTTCTGCCCTCTATGGCCGAATTAGCACGTAAAAAAAATACATGGTCAATCATTTTTCATGTAGAATAACATGTCAAAATGAAGAAAATCGGTGAGGTACACCTGGGGACCTTTCCTTGTTAGTATATGAAAATTAATTCGAAGCAAAGAAACGTATCTCCGAGAAATGGAAGGCAGGGAAAGGCATGTAATCAGCCTCTTAATAACAGAGCACCGTAGCTTGCGGACATCCGCTGATTCTACACTGATAAAAAGGATTAGTTATTATTAACAAATGGATTTGGTTGGAGGCTAGGTTCCATTCGATCTCACCAAATGTTCATTCGTTAAAAGTTAACAAACGTATATTTGAGGAGCCTTGTTTGATTCAACTTTCACCTTTCAAGTGCACCATTCGTCAACTATTAACGAATATTTATTTGGTCATATTCAACTCTATCATTCATTAATAGTTAACGAAGCTCGTTTGGAATAAACGAATCATTCTGGCAGTGAATACTCACTACATTTCCCGGCACCACTCCTCCCCAAAATCCAACGTCAACGAAAATATTGCCCTCTGCGAAAGTCAATTTTTCTACAAAGTTCTTTACAGTTGTTGTTGGAGGGATAGAATTCCTGCAAAGAAATATAGAAAATGTTAGGCACTATGTGAAACAAGCAATAGTAGATATTTTTCTTCGTCGCGCATTAATGTTTTTCGCGCTATCGATTCAGTTTTTGTTGTTTGTATTGACATTATCAATATACTAGCTTCACCCCGGCCGCTTGCCACCTCGATTGAATAATGCCTTCTTTTTTAACTTTCTCAAGCCAATGCAGTGAAGAAATTGGATGATGAAAATCTTCGAATAAAAAATATTTCGACTTTTATTTACTTTATGAAAAAATTTAATATTCTTTGATTTTGAGGTATAAGGAAGTGGTTTTATTAATCAAAACCTCAATAAACAGCCATCAGATGAAACAATCGAAATCGAACAGTTTAATTAAGTTACACACTTGGCCTAAATGATTTGGAAAAACATGAGATTAATTTTTTGATTCCATCCTTGACGTTCAAGTTTATCTAATTATTAACCATGTCAACTGCCCTGCCACTTCTCAATACTTATCACCAACAAACAATGTCATATTCAACTCATTATAAACAAATTTATGTGTAGAAAATATGCACTGATGTATTCAATGCATCATCGCGTTTGTTTCTTATTTGAGGGTCGAAGTCCGCTTTATAATTCGCGCGCACTTTCTCACATGAAACTTCCCGATGAGACAGCGGCTTTAGTACTTGAGGTGATCGAGTTCATGAAAAACAGCCGTAATTTCCCCGTTGAATTCGAGACATTTCCGCCATGTTCGAGTTTTCACTTTCGATTCGAGATATTGTCAGAGATTATAAGGAAAATTGCCAGCGCTTATGGAGAAGTTTCGACCACAAAATTTCATAGCGGTGGCGCATGAACTAATCCAGAGTACATACATGTGAGTAAGGTAGGGCGCGTATGTGAACGTGGATAATGGCGTAGAGTGGGGAGGCAAAGACTAAATGGGGGGAATCGAAGAGCTGGGGATGCCGTGATGAAAGTCACAACGAAAACCATACGATTTTCAACTCTCCATCTCCTTTACGGAGCAGAAAATCCCGCGACGAAAGTTAAGCGCCGAGCGACCCTGAAATAACGCCTCCCATTAAAAATTATTTTCTGCTCTCCTAATCGAGATGGAGAAATGAAATTACTGACAATCGATCGAGAATTGAATTGTCAATCAATTGCTACCGATTTTATCTTTCCATCTCAATAACAAAGCGGGAAATCTCGCGACGGAGTCACATCGGCAGTGGAGAAAACCTTACACTTTGCAAGCAAGTTAAAAATAATTTTCTCACCTCCTAATTGCGATGAAGGGATGCAATTGACGAAAATCGATGGAGAATTGAATTCTCCATCGATTTACACCTGTCATATCGCTCCATCTTCTTCACGGAGTGGAAAATTCTGCGACGAAGGTCACATCGGAGTACTTAGGCTAGGCGGGTTCTGTATCAAAAAACCGAAAGTGACGCCACAAAAAGGTGGTAAATTCAAATGCATCAAGTACAAAGACGTTAAATTCAAATGGACCAATCACACAAAGGCGGCAAATTAAAAAACCGGAAGTGATGTCACAAAAAGGCGGAAAATTCAAATTAAGGTATATCATGTTCGAGATGCGCGGGCACCAGATGGCAGCACGGTCGCGGAATGTTCTGGAAGGATGACGTCATCCAGAACATTCTAGAGCCAGGTGGCAGCACGATCGCGGAGTGTTCGAGAACGATGACGTTGTCCAGAACATTCGAGAGTTAGGTGGCAGCACGATCGCAGAATGTTCTGGAAGGATGACGTCATCCAGAACATTCTAGATCCAGGTGGCAGCATGATCACGGAGTGTTAGAGAACGATGACGTCATTCAGAACATTCGAGAGTTAGGTGGCAGCACGATCGCAGAATGTTCTGGAAGGATGACGTCATCCAGAACATTCGAGAGTTAGGTGGCAGCACGATCGCAGAATGTTCTGGAAGGATGACGTCATCCAGAACATTCGAGAGATGACTCATTGGTTCGCGAAGTGGGGGTATCTCGTAAGTCTTGTCGAGACTTGCATGTAATAGGATACCACGAAGAGGGGGATGTCTTTGATGGGGACGACGTAATCGGTGAGTCACGCAGTTGTTATGTTGATGACGCATTGATTCATGGTGGGAGTATTCCGTAAGTCCTATTGAGGTTTGTATGGCATATGAAAGAAGATTCTCGAATGTTCTCCATGATGAATCATCCATTCTCCTTCGGAGAGGGGGGGGGCGGTTCTGTATATAAGTCCAGCACTCCGCACGATTCACACTCAATCCGAAAACCAGTGTGGATCATTATATCTCAGTTCATAGTGTGATAAAAAAGTTTTACAATCATGTGTCATCATAATCGTCATCATTATATATTTGAAGAATGATGGACGAAGCGACACTGATGAGGACATTATCCATGAACATTTTGATGAGATTGCTCATAAGTTTGCAAAATATCTTGCCAGGTATTTTCATTGTTTATGGAACAATTACGAGGTATTGAACGCTGAGCGACATCCTGGGAGAAGATCAAATTGTTCTCCATGCATCAACCCGTATGCCGAATTATCATACATCATTCAAAGTATCGATAATTAACGATCGATAATATCGATAATATCGATCTGAAACAGAAGATGAAAAAAGTGAATGATGATGAATGATGAGGAGCCATTCACTGTCAACGAGATTCAATGGCTGCACTCAGTTCCCCCATACTGTCTCCATGGGAGTGATGTTGCGACGAAACTATTGATTCATGCATCACCTGAACTTCCACCGATTGATGGGTTTATTAATCGTATCCGCAAGAATTTCAAAGATCTGTGCGTCAAATTCAAGCCCACCCAAATACCGAAATGTTCTCCTTGTGCAAATTTATCTCAGACTTTAGAAATGATTGAAGACAATTCCCAAAATTTACGGGATATGATTGATCTTTCAAGTTTGGAGTATGAGGTTTTCTTGTATTTACGTGGTTATGAGAAGGTTCATTTAGTTTAAGATGGGCACAATTGACCGATTTACTGTGGAGATGGGCGAACAACGAGAGAGGATGAAGAAAATCAGTTTCGAACTAGAACCACGAGTCCATTTGATGCTGCATTGGGATTATGCATATCAATCCCCTCGTCGAGGTCCATGGAAAGAGATAGCTTGACACCGCGATCGTTTCAAGCGTCGAAACAATTTATGCGAAGGAATACTGAATCCTATATTATTGAAACAACATAGACAAACTGTTCTTGAAACTCGTTTCACATAGTTATAATAATAATGTTTATGAGAGGAGAGTATGTACAACAATAAATGTTTGAAATCAATTACGATTTGATGAGCCGGGTGGTCGGGAGGAAAAGTGAGGTTCGGGTTAACGGTTTGATAATTTTCCGGAGGTAATTTGATGAGTTTTCTTTAATAAACAAATTACTATGCACTGAAAATTACACAACACAGAGTTTAATAAATGGATGATTTCCGAGTGGACTGTATACAACTTAACAAAAAGATGATTTGCGATTACAATGTTCGATAATAGTTGCGATGATTTTCCGGCACTTTCACTCGATGAGGTTCGATGGCGTACTAAAGATACGACATGCACGATCGTCCTCGTGCGTGTTCGTCGATGCCCGAAGGTTGCCGAGCGAGCAAAATTCGATATTTAGCCCGACTGAAGGATGATTTTCAACATCCCGCCCGCCCTGCGTCACCTCCAGGTGACGATGTATATCTGATGATTATGATGACGTATCACTGTTGACCTTCCAAAAGGTCGTCGTTGATCGGCAAAGGCACCAGCCTGTGGATGGACCTTTGAGTCTCCTGGTTGCCTTTCCTCAGTGTGACAACTCTGGTGAGGTTGTCTTGTCCCGGATGAATTGCGATGACTCGAGCCAGAGGCCACTTAGCTGGTGGCTCCCGCTCATCAACGATGAGGACCAACGAACCGATTTTTACTTCGTTCGTTGGCTGCTTCCACCGATAGATTTGCTGGTAACGATGAATGCACTCTCGTGCCCAGTGTTCCCAGAAATTCTGAAGCCTCTGGGAGATGATTTGCCATCTGTTCAGTCTTGCTGTGTTGATCTGCTGAAGTGAAGGCTCTGGAATTGTCGTGAGCGCTTCTCCTATGATGAAGTGTCCTGGTGTCAGGGCTGATGTGTCCTGCGGGTCGTTTGTGAGTGGGCAGAGTGGTCGAGAGTTAAGTATGGCCTCGACTTGCGTCAGAAGAGTCGTAAATTCTTCGTACGTCAAGGTCGAGGTTCCGATGACCCTTCGTAGATGATATTTCGTTGATTTCACTGCAGCCTCCCACTTGCCTCCCATGTGCGGCGAGTGAGGAGGGGTGAATTTCCATTTCGTTCCGTCGGATGCTAGCTGATCCCTGATAGTTGCCGATTCGCTTGATGCCTGGTCGAATAACCTTTGAAGTTCTCTCTCTGCCCCGATGAAGTTGACACCCCTGTCGCTGGACAGGGTTGCACAGATGGCCCGTCTCGATGTGAAGCGTTTGTACGCTGAGATGAATCCCTCCGCTGTGAGGTCCGTTACCAGTTCCAGATATGTTGCTGAAGTAGCAAAACATACAAACAGACAGATGTAAGCCTTGTACATTGTCTTGCTTGCCCCTGATCCTCTCCATCTCAGGATGTTGATTGGGCCTGCGAAGTCTACTCCTGAGTGGAGAAAGACCCTCGATGGTGTCACTCGTCGTGTTGGCAGCTGTCCCATCAGCTGTTGAGCCCTCAATGCTCGATGACGTGCGCAAATTACGCATTTGATGATGTGGGAGCGTACTGGAGCTCGTCCCCCGATGATCCAGTACCTCTGTCTGATGTGTGCCAAAGTTAGTTGAGTTCCTCCATGGAAGCTCCGTTGATGAGCCTCCGCGATGATGAGCGATGATAATGGCGAGTGACGGGGAAGAATGATTGGATTCTTCTCCTCCGGATCCAATGTTGATCGTCTTAGACGTCCGCCCAATCGCATGACGTCGTAAT